GCTTCATCCTCATCCTGAGGGATTCGGGCTGTGCCCCCTTTTCATCCTGAGGGGCTCGGGCGGTGCCTCATYCTCATCGTGAGGGGCTCAGCTTRGGCCYCCTCTCCATCGTGAGGGGCTGGAGCTGGGCCCCCTCCTCATCCTGAGGGGGTTGGGTTGGGTCCCCTTTTCATCCTGAGGGGCTCGAATTGGGCCCTCTCCCCATCCTGAGRRGCTTGGGCTGGGTTTGATCCTCRTCCTAAAGGGTTCAGCTTGGTCCTCCTCCTCATCCTGAGGGGCTCAGCCTGTGCTCCCTTTACCTGTGAGCAGCTGGAGCTGGGCCCCCTCCCCATCCCGAGGGTCTCACTGTGGACCCCGGCCCCCTCTGAGGGTCTCCCCAGCTGGACACTCCTCACCCGGGTTGCTCACCCCTCTCCCTGTAATCCTTAAACCCCATCCTCATCTCTGCTCCCTTTGGGGTGCTGCTGGCCTTGGAGGAGCCCCCTCCCCATTATCCCCTTTTTTTAAAGCCCCTGGRACAATCTCGAGTGGTTTCAGGGCTTGGAAGAGCCTGTTTTTAACAGAAACGCTGGGATTTAGAGGCTTGGGGATCAGGAAACCCTTTGTTTTTCCTCCCACAGAGCCCTGCCTGCTTTACATAATATTTTCCATYGCTTGGATGCTTCATAATGAGCCACTAATCCGAGCAACACCTGAGTTAATCTTTTGTTCCAGCAATTTTCAGGCTGGGGACACAGCCCAGGTGTCGGTGACGCTGCTGGAGGATCAGGTGAGGAGAACCACGAGTTTRTTCCTGGGGCTTCTTTTCCCTCTGAGCTGCTCCCAGCCCTGCTCAGGGATGCTGGGTGTGGCTGCTCCACCTGCTTTCAGCAGCCTGAGGCTTTGCTGGAGGCTGGTTTGGGTTAAAAACAGGAAAGAAAGGGATAAAAATAAGGTTAAAGGGTTTTTGGGTGGAAGGCAGGGGTGTTCCAGGGGTGGGAGTTGTGGAAAAGGAGGGGTTTATCCTTTCCCTCTGCCCTGGCTGTGGTGCCTGGTCCTGAATTTTGGGCTGGAGTGAGTCAGTGTCACCTGATGGGCTCTGAGTTCCTTTCTTTGTGCCTTGGAGAGGGAGTTGTCACAGGGCCCAGAGTTACAGGGCACAGGGATTGGCTTCCCACTGCCAGAGGGCAGGGATTGATGGGATTTTGGGCAGGAATTCTTCCCTGGGAGGGTGGGGAAGCCCTGGCAAGGATTTCCCAGTGGAAGTGTCCAAGGACAGGGCTTGGAGCCCAACCTGGCCTTGAAAACCTCCAGGGAAAGGTGATTTGTGGTGACCACAAGTCCACGGCTTAAAAATTCTTTTTTAACACAATTCAGCCTTTCCCTGCTGCTTCCTTTGGCTCATAAAGGAAAAATCTCTTTTCTTGCCATCCCCAGGGACACCTTTCCCTGTTGTCACCCACCGATGTCCCTGCTCTGAGCACACCCCGAGGGCCCAGCAGGGCCCAAAATCGTGAGCAGGATGAGGATCGTGGTGGCCAAAGTGCTGTGTCTGCTGGGAATCTGTGTCCTGGTGCTGGCTGGGGCCCTGCTGCCCGTCAGGGTCATCGAGGCCGACTACGAGAAGGCTCAGCGCTCCCGGAAAATCCTGGCCCTCTGGAATTCCTTCGGAGGTGGCGTTTTCCTGGCCACCTGCTTCAACGCCCTGCTGCCTGCCGTGAGGGGGAAGGTGAGTGTTGATGAATTCCTGGGTTAGGGGAGCCTGAGCCTGTGTGGGAATGGGGGTGAGGGGTCTGTGTGCTGCTGGAGCAGCTTCTGGAGCCCCTTCAAACATCGGGTGCCTCATGAGGGGAAGTTGTGCCCACCTCCTGTTTGGAATGAGTGGGGATTTTTGGGATGCAGAGGAGGCTGTGGGGTGTGAGGGTCAAAACTCCCACGCCAAGGCCGGTATGAAGGGTGTGGGAGCATCACAAATCCACTCAGTGTCCATGTGGGAATGTTTCCCTTTATCAGAAGGAGAAAAGGGATGGATTCAGTGCAGATCTTTGCTCCCTTYCAGCTCGATGAGGTCCTCAGGCAGGCCAACGTCAGCACGGACTACCCGGTGGCCGAGACCATCATGATTGTCGGCTTCTTCCTGACGGTCTTTGTGGAYCAGCTCTTCCTGACCTTCCAGAAGGAAAAACCCTCTTTCATCGACCTGGAGACCTTCAACGCCGGCTCGGACGCGGGCAGTGATTCGGAGTACGAGAGCCCCTTCATCGCCTCGTCACGGGGACGTGCCCTGTACGGAGAGCACGGGCCCCACTCCCACAGCCTGCACATCCCAGAGCTGTCCCGCTGCGGCCCCCGCCGCCTGCTGGGGCTGGTGTTTGCCCTGTGCACCCATTCCATCTTCGAGGGGYTGGCGCTGGGACTGCAGGAGGACGGCAGCAGAGTGATCAGCTTGTTCCTGGGAGTGGCCGTGCACGAGACGCTGGTGGCCGTGGCTTTGGGCATCAGCATGGCCAAGGCCTCGCTGCCGCTCAGGGACGCGGCCAAGCTGGCGGTGGCAGTGTGCCTGATGATCCCGCTGGGCATTGGCATCGGGATGGGCATCGAGAGCAGCCAGAGCGCTGCCAGCAGCATCGCGTCCCTGCTGCTGCAGGGCATGGCCGGCGGCACCTTCCTCTTCGTCACCTTCTTCGAGATCCTGGCCAAGGAGCTGGAGGACAAGAGCCACCGGCTGCTCAAGGTGCTGTGCCTGGTGGTGGGCTACGCCGCGCTGGCCGGGCTGGTCCTCATCCCGTGGTGAGCCGGGAGCCTCGGCAAGAAACGGAGCAAACCTCGCCCCTCCCCTCCCATCGGCACCGGGAGGAGCCGCCCCTTCCACCGCTGGAGCTGCACCAGCCCCGCCCAGGCCGTGTTTCTTTAATATCCTGAAGGAGCAGAATCTCTTCCCGTGTGCTCAGAGGGAGTGAGGAATATCCCAAGGGATTTTCCCTGCCCGTGGGGCTGCGGGGATTAGCGACACAAACAATGAGGRTCTGGGTAAAGGCTGCTTCCAGAGCTCCTGTGTGTGGCTTCCTGCACTGCCCACAGCCCACTGTCCCTCCTTCCCCTCGCCCACACTCCGGGACGGGCTGGGAGCCTGCTCTGGAGGGCGAGGAACAAACAGGAGTGGAGGCAGAGCAGGTGGGAGCAGGGATTGCTGGGCTGCACTAAGCTGCTTTTGCTGGCTTAGTTCAGAGCAAAACCTGGTGTGAGAGCTGCCAAAAATAACAGCCCTGTGGGGCTCCRGCCTTCCGGGGGCTCTGCTCCCTCCGGCACAGCTTCCAGTGTCCCACCTGTGGCTCAGGGAGCTCGGCTTTCCCAGGGATTCATGGAAGAAATGAGGCCAGGCCCCTCTACCCTGCTTCCTTCTCAGCATCTTATCCACAGGCTRAGCATTCCCTAAGGAAAACCTCCAGCAGCAGGTTTTGAAAATCGGAGGATGAATCCCAGGGTGGTTTGGGTTGGGAGGGACCTTAAAGCCAATCCAGTGCCACCCCTGCCATGGGCAGGGACACCTTCTACTATCCCAGGACACCTTCCATGGGCAGGGACACCTTCCACTGTCCCGGGACACCTCCCATTGTCCCAGGATACCTTCCATGGGCAGGGACACCTTCCACTATCCCAGAACACCTTCCACTGTCCCGAGACACCTCCCACTATCCTGGGACATCTCCCATTGTCCCAGGACACCTTCCATGGGCAGGGACACCTTCCACTATCCTGGGACACCTTCCACTGTCCCAGGCTGCTCCAAGCCCTGTCCAGCCTGGCCTTGAACACTTCCAGGGACGGAGCAGATCCTCTCATTATCCACGAGCGTGCAGGAGAGGGGCAGTAACAATTTCCAGCACAATTTTCCCCCATTGCTATTTTGGTGCAAACCTTTGTGTTCCCAGCGCTCTGCAATCAGAGGTGTCGAGCAGCTCCCATCAGGAGCTGCTCCAAGGCTTTCCCAGGTTTCCAAAGGAATGAAATCACCTCCCTGGGGGGGTGTGTAAGGTGGTGGAAAAGCTGCTGAGAGACACAAACAAATCTCAGCGCGGCCCCAGGGAAGCTCCGTGCGCCGCTGATCCCCGTTGGATTTGCCCTTTGGAACCGGGAGCCGGGATCAGAGGCTGGAGCTGGGAATGTGCTCCCCCCCAGCCGTGTCACACAGCCGGGCTCAGGCAGGGGCTGCATTTTAATTACCCGGAGCCTTCGCTCCTGCAGCAGCTTCCGCCGGGCTCCTGGAAGCGCTGATGGAATTATAAGGATGGCGCAGTGCCGGCAGCGGGAAGGAGGCTCGGAGCCTCCGCGGTGGCCCAGCTGCAGCATATGGAGGCAGCTGAGCATCATCTGACAGATCCTGGGGCTCGTTAGTTTAATTGCTGCAACATCCCCGAGTCAATTAATCTTCCTTTGAAAACCTGGAGTGGAGGGGGGAGGCGGAGGGAGGTTATTTTGAGCCTGGGATGACACAAACCAGGAGGATGAGGAGAACGTGATTTGCCTCGGCGTGGTAAAGCCTCGGGGCTGTTTCGCCTCTCCTGGGGGGTGACCTCGCTCCTGGGGGGTTCTCCGTGCTGGGGGGGACAATGGGGGAGAGGTGATACCGTGCTGAGTGTCCCTTTCTAGGCTGTGAGCTCCGTGTCACACCCTCCTCCTGCCGGAGTTTGGGATCGGGGAGCTGTGACGTGCCGGGGGTGCCGAGCTCCCCCATCCTCACCCCATTTCCCGGGGTGGGGTTTATTCACAGGATCATCCCGTGCTCCGGGGCGGAGGAGGAGGAGGAGGCCCTGCTGCTCCCAATAAATTCCCTGCCCTTCTCCCCTCGCTGTCACTCGGTTTTTTTTCCATGTCCCCCATGGCAGCTCCACGTCCGGCTCACGCGGCGGCCACACGTGCCGGKCCCCGGCGTGGGCTGAGCCCCCTCCTCGGCAGCCAAACCCCTCCGGTCGGATCCCTCCAGAGCCCCGCTGAGCTCGGGGGAGTGGGAACGGGACCCCCCATTGCCCCCYGCTCGGCAGCTCCGTGATTCAGCCCTGCGTGAGCGGCCGCCCCGTTGCGTCAGGCCTGGCGGGGAGCTGCGGCTCAATGGAACGAGGAGGAGCCGCAGGAAAATGATCAAGGAAAACTCATTCATTCCCTCTAACGAGGAGTATCCGGCCGGCTCCGAGCGCTGCGGGGCGGGGGGGACGCTGAGGCTGCCCTCCCCCGGGGCCGTGTCACCTCACGGGGAGGGCCGAGGTCCCCCCAATGTCCCCTCCCGTTCCCGCGGGGACGCGGTGCCAGCGCGTGGGTGCCGCCGTGGCCCGGTGCCCGCTGGCTGCTATTAATAGAGGCTGCGGATTTTAATTGCTGCCACTCAGGGGTGGGGAGGGGGGGAGGCAGGAGCAGCCCCCGGCTGTGACAGGGACATTCGGACCCCCGAGCCAGCGGTCACCCTGTGGCACTGGTGGGGCGCAGAGCTGGGGACGGTCACCCTGGAGCTGTGCTGGACCCAACACCGGGGTGGGGCTCAGCACTTGAGTGTCCCACMCCCCCACAAGGACCCCCAGATGTCCCCTCGGGGGCTTCTGTAGGATTTGGGGACTCTGCCATGAGCAGGTGACAGTAGCTGGTGACAAATGCCCTACGRTGTGTGCACAGGCTGCCAGTCCTGCACTGGGGTGCCACCATGGCCTCTGTGTCCCCAAAACCCGACCCTGCTGCCCAGGCCACCCCAACCGCCATGGGGGCTCAGTGCACCCTCTGCCACCTGTGCCCTGCCTGGCTGGGATGTTGGATCTGTCTGTCCTGTCCGTCTGTCCCCTGTCACCACCTGTGGGRCTCTGTCCCAAGGCTGTTCCTGCCTGTCCTGTTCCATGTCCCCACCTGTGCACATGTCCGTGTGARGTCCCTGTCCCTGTCCCCATCCTGTGTCCCCCTGCCTGGCTGTCCATCCTCACCCCCATGTGTCCCCATCTCTCTCAATGTGTTCCCATCCCCTTGTCCCTGTCCCTATTTGCGTGACCCTCTTTGTGTTCCTTTCTGTGTGTCCTCATCCCTGTCCGTGCGTCCCTGTCCCTGTGTCCCCGTCCCTGCCTGTCCCGTGTTTCCATCCCATTGATCACCATCCCTGCCCGTATTCCTCCATCCTCGTGCATCCCTGTCCGTGTGTCCCCATCCCTGTCCGTGTGTCCCTGTCCGTGTGTCCCCATCCCTGCCCGTGTGCCCCCATCCTTGTCCGTGTGTCCCTGTCCATGTGTCCCCATCCCTGTCCGTGTGTTTCCATCCCATTAATCCCCATCCCTGTCCGTGTGTTCCCATCCCTGTCCGTGTGTCCCCATCCGTGTCCGTGTGTCCCTGTCCGTGTGTCCCCATCCCTGTCCGCGTGTCCCTGTCCGTGTGTCCCTATCCCTGTCCGTGTGTCCCCATCCCTGTCCGCGTGTCCCTGTCCGTGTGTCCCTATCCCTGTCCGTGTGTCCCCATCCCTGTCCGTGTGTCCCTGTC